ATCAAATTTTGAATGACACAGTCTTCCACTCGAATAAGGGCATCTAGAAGCCCAAATTTGGGCTCTATGATTTGTTTTATTAACTATTTCATATTTTGTAAAACTTTAATGGATATTTGATTAACAAATTCAACGATTTCAAAGCGACAAATGGCAACATTGTATGAAAAAAAAAACATTTTTGTCTCCAGTGCTCGAGACTGTGTATCGGAAATTCTAAAGATGTGCTCTTTTTAAATAATAAATAACAATAATACTAATAAATAATAATATAAAATCGTAACATAAAATCTGAAATCTTGCAGATTTTTTTTTTATTTATTCTATTTATTCATTCAAAATGAACCTATATAAAATTGGTAGATTATATGAGAAATAAAGGTACATATGATATGAGAAATAAGATGTCTTCAGTTACAGTCCTAGTAAATGTTAAATCTATAAATAAATTGCCAAGTGTCCTTGGATAGTTACTTGGAACCATATTGAGATTAAAATGATGTTTCATAAAATCAAGTGTTTTTAAATTAATTTTTTTTTAAAGTCAAGTGTTTTGTCTATCAAATGTTTCATTCCTTTCGTTTGACATCTACATTGAAATCTCGAATAATAGTAATAGGAACATCTATATCTGTAGCAAACTATAAAATAAATGCCTAAAATTTAAAAAAAAAATACATGTTAATGCCTCTCATTAAATTTATTTTTATGTTTAAAAAACAGTTTTCTTTATAATAAAAATTTATATCTAAAAATGCTATTTTATTTGTGGCTGTCTTTTTTCTTCAGTTCTACACGTGTCCCTTTGCCCAGGATTCTTTTAATGGTAGATGCCTTAAATACCCCTTGTATACCGAACTTTGATTAACCGAAAGGGTGAAATAAAGTAAGACGAATTGATAAGTTTGGTGGAAAAAAAAAAGCTGTTTTCAATTTTCTTTTATATTTTCTCATTACCGATATGTGAACGAATTTTATAATGGAAGAAAAAGTGTAGATTATCCCAAAACTGTCTTTTTAACTTAAAGTTGTAAAATTTAAACTTTAAATTAAGTATTTAAATTCAGGTTCTTGCTCGCATGCAGAAATATAGAAAGTGTTTTCAATCTCAATTCCTTCATTTCAGTGTGTTCCTCAGTATGAATAGTATAGGTTTCATGGAACATTTTTAGCTTGACTTTAAATTGCTGCAATGTTCAGTGTGACATATCATCTGTCATTGTGTGGTATTCATAGAATTATGTTAGGTAGCCAGTTTCGGATTTCAAGCCACGACTATATGTGGAATGTGGGTTTTTGTAGATTAGATTAGAACATTAAAAGAGATATTTTCTAGCATTTTGTAAACTGATGAAAAAATTAGAATAATTTTAGACTCTGATGCCATCAGTAATTCGTCTTTATTGTGGTGTACGGGATCTTCTTATCCAGATGCTTCTTTAAACCATTATCACTGATATAGACTTCTGGCACGTTAGGCTTATCCGATGCATATTCATACATTGGATTTATATTACTGCTGCTTTCCAAGAGAAAACATCGATTGTAAACATCGACTACTTAAACTCAACGAACTTTAACTTAATATTTCTTAAATTCACTCATTTCTACTGAATTCTGTAAAAATTAAATAAGTATTCATGGCTGGGCAGCTATAAGTAATCCACTGAAAATCAGCAGCCATGCTGTTAGGAGTGGAAAATGTGGGCAAAACACAATTTTGCACAATATGATGATATATTTTAACGATTTTTTTCATTGGTTTGCTTTTCGTGTAAGAGTTTTTGAGTGGAACACTTATTCAAAGGCCCATAATCCGGACTGTCTGAAGATTGGAGATGGATTGCTGGCAACTTGGACCCATGTAACGGACATCGTGCCCCAAATCTGAGGCTGGAAAGGATTCAGCTTTTGACACCACTGGCCTTTTCTTCTATCACCCACTGCCTTGTTCCTTATCCACTGCCTTATACCACTGCCTTCTATCACCACACTTTCTTCCATCACCCACTGCCACTTTCGTGTAAGAGTTTTTGAGTGGAACATTTATTCAAAGGCACATAATCCGGACTGTCTGAAGATTGGAGACGGACAGCTGGCAACTTGGACCCATGGAGCGGACATCGTGCTCCAAATCTGAGGCTGGAAAGGATTCAGCTTTTTAGACCACTGGCCTTTTCTTCTATCACCCACTGCCTTGTGCCTTGTCCACTGCCCTGTACCACTGCCTTCTATCACCACACTTTCTTCTATCACCCACTGTCACTTTCGTGTAAGAGGTTTTGAGCGAGACACTTATTTAAAGGCACATAATCCGGACTGTCTGAAGAGTGGAGATGGATTGCTGGCAACTTGGACCCATGTAACGGACATCGTGCCCCAAATCTGAGGCTGGAAAGGATTCAGTTTTTGCCACCACTGGCCTTTTCTTCTATCGCCCACTGTCTTGTTACAATAAGATGCTATGGACATATATGATATTTTCGGCAATAATTTTGATATTTTTTAAATTTAAAATCATACACTAGTTTATCGTTCTTCTAATAAATACTCAGAATGAACTGATGCATGAAAAAGGGTTTAAGCTTCCACAAACGCGTTATTTTTATATAAAAAGCGAATTTTCCCTTTCTATTCACATATATGCTTTCTTTAATGTTAGAATTTCCTTGGAGTGGTTGTAATTGCACTGAAAGCATTTGTCTATGTTTAGGGCTGAAGATAAAACAGGATGGTCACAAGAAACCTTCCCCAATTTAAAAAGCCCAAGCCGCCTATCCACTCAACCAAACTAAATGAAATTTAAGGTATTGCTATTTAAAGGTATAAGGTCTTTTTCTTAGCGAAATTATTTTAATATAATGTTTTTAAGATGAAGGTATGTTTAGTGCCACAGAACTATGAGCCAGTCTCACAGCAACATCATCAAATACATCGGAAACAGTAAAAAAATCTTGCAGAAGTTTCTCTCGCAGACATTTCGTTTCCATACTCCTCCGTTATCCCTTTTCGCACCTGCTTTCAGACCTCGTAAGACATTCGATTCTGTTCTCTCTACTCTTTCCGAAACACAACTGTAACAATAGACAAACCATTTTAAACAACAGTAAAGCAAAAGACAAGCAACAATACAGTAAAAGAACAAAGACACAAAACACAATTAATGATTTTTTTTCCTTACGTGTTTTAAAATGAACTCACTCAGCCACGCACAATTTTTGAAAAACACTGCATAAATTATATAATCCAAGTTGCAAGTTTTGTCTAATTCGCAAGAGATGAGTGATTTGGCATTTGCAAAAACAAATAGATGACGAGCTCTATGACTGACCTGGTTTTGAAAATATAAATCATGTTTTATTCTTTAATTACTTCCTTGTACGAAATAAAAAGGAAGTATTGTAATCGCGAAAAGTTTCAAGCAGCATATTTCAATGAAATATCCATTTTGACTGCTATCGAATGTAATTTAATGATGTTTTTGCGTGATATCTGTATGTAAGCACAGAATAAAAGACTCTTTTCCTCCAAAAAAATTATAAAACTGCTTTAAAATGAATTCTGAAGAGATTTTTCGTGGCCATTGTACGAACGTATGTACATACGTATCTCGCATAACTCAAAAACGAGTAGCCTCAGAACGTTGAAATTTTGTATATAGGACTGCTATAACATGTAGATGGGCACCTCGTACTTTGGTTGGGATGGGCCGCACCAAACCTACATAAATATATTTATATATATATCCACTCTATTACCCGGTTCAGTGATCTCAGTTTCTTTACTCTTATATGTTTGTAAATTGTGCATTTTTTGCTTTAAAAATGATTGAATTATGTTCTTTTTATCTTCCGGTTAAGGTTTTTATGCCTTAGTAAATCGTATGCAATATTTTTAGAATTATCAACAATATTAAAGTTGTTTAAGTGCCGCTAAGCCTAATAATTTTTTTGATGGCGGCCCTTGCTTGTTTACATTTGAAATAGCAGGATAGTGGATTTGTTGTCAATCTAGAGAAAGTTAGCTTCGCAACAACAAAGATAACGCCTTCATTTATTATTGCGAATTAAATCATGCTTAATCCTTTCTGGAATTTTTTCGAGGAAATAAGTGTTTGAGATTTACTTCGTAATTTTTAATACAGATATTTTGAGTTTTTATGTCTTTTTGCCTTGTCGCGAAGTGAGAACTGAATTAATTGAATGAGAAATTCTATATCGTCTGTGAAAAACTGTTTCTTTTTTGTTTTATTTACTTAATTTCTTTTATACATCGTTCTAGCTTTATTATAGTATTTGAATAGAACATGTAGCAACGATTAGATAATTCTTTAAATGATATAAATTTTGTGCATTCTGAGTTATAATATGAGCGAAATATAATACTGTTAATTGAACCTAGCGCCAGAGTGTCGCTATGGTAAACAAATAGAGTGAATTTTAAGGAATGCATTAATTCTATTGTGGTTTATGCACTGTCGGCGAAGTAGATTTAATTCAGTCCAATAACTTTAAATGAAATGCAAGAAAAAATGTGTGTAATTTAATATTCCGTACAAGGAAGCCATGTGGTGTACACATCAGACTTTTTTACTCTTGATCTCCTTCGTTTTCTTCAAACTCATCAAAGTGATATTAATTAAAAATATGGTATTCCGAAAAACTGAAACAGGATGTCGATATTCAATAAAAATCATCAATGTAAATTATGCATCAATAACAATATTTTATGCAGAAAATTAGAAGAAACGTTTATGAGAACTTTTGTCGAGAAGCATGTCAAAATCATAAATTTTAGTTAACTTTCAATAGGGTTCTACGTAAAGAGTTTCTAATTTTGCCAGTTTCTGGATCAACAGGGTTGGGAGCTGAGATTCGCAGAAACGCAAAATAATGAATTTATTCTTTTTTAAAGTTAACGTTCTGGTAAAATACTAAAACATAGAGTTAACTACTGAACACTTTACGATTTGTCTAACAAAATAAACTTTTATTTTACAGACATCATTCACACCTCTTGTTCATCAATATGTCATTCACAGCTCATATCAAAGAAGCACTTGATTCTGGAGGTAAAGTAAAATTATATTTTTACCATATTTGAAATTATTTCAGCTGATTATTTTCTCATAATAAATTTGTTTAATATTTTGACAGATCCGTTGGTTCGAAAGTGGTTTATGGTGGAAAACAATTACTTGCCTTTCGTATTATGTGCATTATACGTATTTTTTGTGAAAAGGTTGGGACCTGATTTAATGAAGAATAGAAAACCGTTTGATCTTCGCTCTGTCATGATTGTGTACAACTTTTCTATCGTATGTGTGTATATTTATTGTCTTTATGGGGTAAGTACAATGAAAAGATTACCGTAAAATAAATATTGCAATTGTAACAATGATCAGTGAAAGCGGATACTAGGAATAAAAATGTTAATTGAATGGTTAAGCCTGTGTTTAGATTTTTTAAATACCTAACAGATAAAATAATTAATGTGACTTAGGAAGCTGTTTATATTTGATATTTATACAAACATAAATGTAAAAATTCAAAATATAATCTAAGCGAACTCATATAATATATTCAATTTGTAGGAACATTCGATATTTTGAAGCAGGAGAGGTGAAAAATAAGCAATGTCGTTGTCAGGACTAGAACCTCGGACCTCTCGAAAACGCGCCGAGTGTGCTGACCATTACACCAAGAAGGCATGCTAAGAAGGCGGGTGAAATACCTTATAAATTTTGGAAGAATGATTTGAAATAAATAATCAAAATTGTTAATGCTAAATTACTACTGTATTACTGTAGAGTTATTACTGTATTATTACTGTCTTACTATTATTACTGTAGAGTTCTTTTAAAAATTCTCTGACAAATAATGCTGTGCAGAAATAAAATCTGTGCTCAATGACCACATACACAAACTAGGTAGAAAAAGCGTGTAAAATATAAAGGCAAATGGATAATGCATCTCCCGGTGCATTCCCGTCAGATGGTTGGTGAATCGAGAAACATAAAAAAGGCGTATTTATGATCTGCCAAATGCAGAAATGTGAAATTAATCTTAAATCAAGAAATACAAATTGAATAACATGCGCATTTATCAGTCCAACCCATGGAATCGAAAAGGTACCTGTCCCAAACTTAAATAAAAATTAAACATTGTATCAAGAATGTAAGTGAATCCAAAAACAGAAATTGCAATACAAGAAGTAATTTTAAATTTATAAAATGTTTTGAAACGTGCGTTGTAACATGATACATGCTGCAATCTAAAACTGTAGAGTCATTAGGTTAATTGGAAGCAGAAAAGATGAAAAATATGCAACCGCCTTCGCCGGGAATTGAACCACGGACCTCTGAAATACCGGCTCAGTGTGCAGAACCACTACACCACGAAGGCACGCTAGGGAAGTGGGAGAAATACCTTATATACTCCCCTTTTTAAAGGGAGACTAGGGTTTTAGGGGACCTAGTCGCCAAATCCTGTGTGCGGAGAATCATCATCCACGACCCTTTTAGTTCGGGCGCCACTTGTAGAGTCATTAGGTTAATTGGAAGCAGAAAAGCTGAAAAATAGCAACCGCCTTCGCTGGGAATCGAACCACGGACCTCTGGAATACCGGCCCTGCGTGCTACCGTTAAACCAACAAGGCACGCTAGGGAAGTGGGAGAAATACCTTATAAAACTATTGAAATAACTTCTTCAGTATCACAAAGATTATATATATTAATAGAACAAAGAGAAAACTAAGTTTCATGTTAAGAAAAATAAACAGGATAATTGTTATAAAGCAAAAACTATTAATTAAATTTAAAAAGCTTTATGTTATATACAAACGAACACAAATTTTACATATAAATGAAGAAAACTTTAAATAATAAATTAATAAGTAGATTCGAAACACTGAAATACATTGCAAAGCAATTATAATCTAACTCTAATATGTGTAAACAGTGAAGACAATATTTTACGGTTATTTAGCAATTAAGAAACTTTAGACTATATCCTTAGTTCTGTATATTAAAAAGGAAATCTGATGTGCACATTTCATGACTCCCTTGCGCGGCCTATCAAATTATTCACATTTTGGCTGCAACAATAAACTGATATTAAATATTTCGATTTTAATTACAGTATGCTGATATTAATTATTGTTAGATTAACTACACACATGAACTGTTATTATATATCTAGTTAGCTTTCGTTATTTTTCGAAAATCAATGTTTTTAAAATTTGCCATTAATAAAACATGAATATTTTCGTCATTTGAAACACGTCTGTAATTTGAAGTATGTAACTGTTACCAACGATTGCCAAAATATAAGACGATTAAGCACTTTTAAGCCGGCTAAGGGAATGGATGTACATACGCGGAAAAGCCAAAATATAATGATCTCCTACTGGATAACCCTTTACACGACCTTTGGCCTGAAAAACAGCTGCAGCTCCCCTTGGATGTCACAAGTGTTTGAGCTTTGAGCTGCCGTTCCATGACATCCCAAATATGCTCTATTGAGTTATTCCGGCGAGTTGGCCAGTACATTAATTGGAATTCATCCTTATGCTCCTCGAACCCCTCCAACAGAATTCGAGCCTTGTGACATGGGGAACTGTCTTGCTGGAAGCTTTCATTTCCACTTGGGAAAGACAAACGACATGTAAGGGTGCAACTGATCCGCAATTATCTTCAGATAGTCCGGAGATTTCATGGTGTGTTTTACTATAAGAAAGGCTCCCACAGCCGCCAGTGAAAATGTCCCATGAAACATAATATCGCCACTATCAGCCTGTGTATGACTTGATGTACAGGGTGGGAGCAACTATTCGCTTGGCAGACGGCGTATCCTGGAACGACAATTGACATGATGAATGAGAAATCGCGATTCATCCGACCAGGCAACTGTCTTCCACTTATCCATGTTCCAGTCCCAATGTTCCATCTCCAATTGTAGGCCTAGTTGTCAATGACGCTTGGTCAGCAGAGGCAGACAACTGATACGTCTGATGCGCAGTGCCATATCCAACAGTGCCCTCTGAACTGTGTGTTCCGAAACACTTAGAACTGCATTGTACCGGTATGCCAACTGAACCTGTCACCAATTTTACTATACCAAGTGGGACAGTCTCCAACTGTTATTTGATGATTTGTAGACATCCAACACCTTGGTGTCTACTGCTGGTTTCACTGTTAGAATCTACTTTGCATAAATGCTAACAAGGGCAGATCACTGAACAGCTCAATCGTGAAGCTTCGGAGATATTCGTTCCCAGTCTTCAGGCCATTACAATCTGCCCTCTGTCAAATTCACTTAGATCAGCCGCCTTTCCCAATCCCTCGCAGATGCAAGGGCCAGAAGGATTCCTTACCTTTCCAGCAGACCTTAAATATCATTCCCACTTAATCACGTGGAAATACCTTTTCTTTATATAAATTTTTTTATTTATTTTGTCTTAGTGGTATCCTCTGGTTTAAATACATTGAGTTGATAGGGTCATTTATATTTTTAAAATATTTTTTGGGGTTATTTAAGGATTGTACCGGTTTTATATTTCCTTTCTTTCATGTTTTTGCTGTTTAGGTTCTAAATTTATTATTTTTTGTCTATAATTAATTAATATTTCAACAGCATTATGCTCGGAGACAATTTGGGATATTTTTGTTGTAAAACATTACTGCAATGTATATATTTATATATCTGATACAGTCGATTGCAATAAAAAACTAGGTGCACAGGGAGATGTTATAGCAATTCCATTACAAAATTTAAGGGGACTCATACGCCTTAAAACCCGCAAGATCTTCGAATATGTGACTGTTGCAAGAATAGGGATAACTTATTTATTTTAAACGCAATTACTTCCAACGTTTTACAGATGACTACGTAATATAGCTGCTTTCTGAAATAGTAATCAGAAAGTTTGTGTTGCCACAAATATTTTTATAATTTAATTCGCTTTGTGACAGCATTTTTCGTCATGTTTCCACCTTGCGCGCACAGTTTAAAACAATCTGTTGCATAATTTAATTCCATATTTGATATATAACTTTTATAACATTTGTAAAACTACTGTGAACCTAAAATTCTAAAAATTTCATGTTAAATTTTTATTTGATTTTGAGTTGAGTTTATAAAATGTATTTTATTAAAAAAAATTTTAATGTTTTCGTCCATAAAATTTTTCAATATTAAAATATTCATCAGATTTTTGGTTCAGTTAGAAAATAGTGCCCACATAAAGAATTCCTCCCAATTTCAAGTATGTACCATTAGCAATTTTTAAAATATCAGGCGCGCAAGGTGGAAACATGGCGAAATATTTTGTCACAAAGAGGATTAAATTACAAAAATATTTGTGGCAACACAAACTTTCTGGTTACTAGTTTCCAAAGCAGCTATATTATGTAGTCATCTGTAAAAGGTTGGAAGTAATTGCTTTTAAAATAAATAAAATATTCCTATTCTTGCAACAGTCGCTTCATAAAGGGTTTAAGGTGTATGAGCCCCCTTAAGCTTTCTACAGCTAATCGTTTTTGAGTTCTGGGAGAGATACATACATACGAACGTACTTACATACATAAAGACGTCAGGGAAAAAAAGCCCTCTTTGAATCTATTTTAAATCCATTTTATAATCCAGTCTATTAAAAAATACTTTATTCTGTCCGTACGTAAAGACGTCATGCTCAGAAATTATCCAAACGCATTCAGGAGCAGTCAAAATGGATATTTCCTTTCAAATATGGTACCCGGAATTTTTCGCGATTACAATACTTCCTGTACTTGGAACTAGCAAGTAATTCAGAAGTGTAATTAAGGTAGATGCTTTTTAATTAAATTACAATTTTTTAAACATTTTAATTAATAATTGGAGTTTTATAAAAAATTCTTCATTATCACAACAGATTTGTCAAATTCTGGTAGTTTGATTTATTATAACGTTGGCTTAGATTTTTCTGGAAACACTTCACTACTAATTATTTAATTTTATGGCACTGAAATTGAAAAATGTACTGAAGAAGATGTAAAATTCATTTACCTTTATTTTTTCAATTTTATTTATCTGGTAATTTTTGTATTCATTTTATTTTTACACCAAAACTTTTTTTATGGGAATTTTGAATATTCTTGTAGTTTTTTTTTACAAGTTTTTTCCGTCAGCACCTCAATTTGTTGTGCCAGTTCTTTATTCCAAAAGTGAATATGATATTTGACTTTGCTTAGATTATATTTTGAATTTAATAAATACTGTCACTGAATTAATGCAGCTTGTAGTGCATAATTTGGGTCTTGGTTTTGAACTTAAATTTTTCTTTCCTTAAACTATTTAAGTTTACATATAT